CCGGGCCCTGGCGGCCTGCGAGCCGGCGCTGAGCAGCCGGGTCGTCCAGGACCTGAGCGAGTCCTGCTTCAGCTCCCTGAGGAGTGCGCTGGACGTGCCGCGGCTCTACCGAAGAACCAATAAGGTCAGTGTCCCGAGGGGACCCCGGGGCAGGGGATGTGGCGGGCAGGCTCACGGGAGGGGCCGAGCGGCATCTGTCCCCTCGGAGCAGTCGCTCCGGTGAGGGGGCCACTGGCGGTGGACGGCCGGGTGCGTTGCGGGCGGGCCTGGGATTTTCTGGATTCCTTGTCCTGGAGGAGAGGCGGCGCTGGCAGGGACCCCACGGTAACGAACTATCCTGGGTGCTGGGCCTTTTCTGTCCTCGCACCTCGTCTTTGGAAGGGTCAGAGTTCACCTGTTCCTCACCACCCACGGCGCCCGCTCCCAAGATGAGCCGATGGCTCAGAGCCTGTGTCCCCCGTGTCCCTTCGCGGGCGGGTGGCCCAGAAGCCCGTGTCGCACTTTGCACTTACTTCATTTTTGCTGGCGCTCCCTTCATTCCCCTCCGGTCCCCTCCTCCCAGCTGCAGAGCTGGGCTCAGGCCGTGGGCAGCTGAGCGCGCTCTCGGGAGCTGCCACCGCCTCCGAGACGTGCGTCTTAGCGTCGGCCTGGCAGCCCTGCAGACACGCCTGCCGGGTGGCACCCGCCCTCCGACGCGCATGCCCTTCGTGGCCGAGCTGAAGCTGAGTCAGCCTCTGGCCGCCCTCTTTCCCCTCAACGTCCGGGGCGCGCAGTAGGACCGCCACTCTGGCAGGAGACCTTGTCGCCGTTTCCTCTTTCCCGCCGACCCGACGCGCCCACTGCCGAGCGAGGCGCGTCCCTCCCGCCTGCCCTGCTCCATCTCACAGCGCACCGCGCCCAGCAGGGCCTGCGTTGTGGGCCGCGCACCGCGCTGAGTGAGCACGCGCACTAGTTCCTATGCACGGTGGGGGGGTGTCCTTCGCAGGCGCAGACACCAAACTGAGAAAAGTCAGGTCCCCCCCGGCCCTCGCTCCTCGCACGGCCGTCTGCTGACCAGCAGCGTCAGCGTCACGCGCGGGCTCAGAGCCCCCCCCACAGCCACCCACACACCGGACCACCCAGGTTTCACGGCACCACCGGTGACTGTGAGGGACGGGGGCAGCCCCCGGGCGCAGGGCCGTCGGGGTGGCCCAGCGGCCCCTCCCGCCGCCTCTGCCGATGTCCTGTTCTCCAGGTGTCTTTCTGGAGCTGACCCTCGTGGTCCTTTCCGGAAGGAACGAGGTTGGGTCCGTGTCTCGGCTAGTGCTTCATTCGTGTCACCTTGAACGACTCTTCTCTTTTCTCTGCCCGGTGCCCTGATCCACGTGCCAGGAGGTGCCGACGGCGGCGTCCCCTTACGTGGACAGCGCCCTGAAGCCGTTGCACCAGCTCCAGAGCGAGCACGGGGGACAGCTCGGGCAGGCCACGCTCCGGCGGTGGCTGGAAGACGCGCTCTCCGCCAGCACGCACAGGTGAGCAGCCTGACTTGGACACTTCTGGCTGTCGGGAGCCCTGAGCCAGAGGTCGCCGAGGCTGGCAGAGGCGGTGTGCCGCTGCGGTGGTCAGAACGAGAGGCCGTCAGTCCCTCGCCGTCGCTGGACGGCTGAGCTGTGCCCGCTCCCCGCCCGCCCACGGCTCTACCAGGCTCCAGTCAACCTGTCGGGGCCTGCGTGTGTCCTGGTGGCTTGCAGCTTACGCACCCCCGGGGTCAGGCCCACTCCACGGGGCGCCCCTGCCCTTCACTGTTGGGCCACGGCCACCAGGTCAGGCCGCTTTCCTTTAAGACCTTTGCTCCTGGCCCCGGCAGCCTGCAGTGGCTCCAGTCATGTCACGTGACCTCAGCACTGGCCTGGGTTCCAGTGGGCGATCGCCGTAATCGAGGAAAGCGGTTACGGGTGACAAAGGGCCAGGTCCGAACCCACAGCCCTGGGAAACGCCGGGGTCTCAGGTCGCTCTGGTCGAGGCCCTTCGCTTCTGACTCAGCCGCCTTCTCCCCAGACGCCGGCACTGGGTTACGTCGGAGGCACGGCATTCAGTTTCATTGTTGAATTTTGTTAGTTAGTTTTGCAGTAGTGTATCACATCAATTACTTACGAGTTAAGTGGCATTTGTGGGTTCATTTAGAACATAAAAGTGAATCGTATTACCAGTTTCTGGGGGCAAGTATATTTTAAATACCAAGTAATCAGCTTATAAACCGTTTCTAAATGTAACTCATTTGTAACTTGGACAGTGTATTGAGAATAGTTTGAAAGCAATTGGTTTTACTTAAGGTTTTGAAACGCTTTTACTCTTAGAAAGGCGAGCTCTTCCTGGGACCGGTCGTCAGCGCTTGCTCCTTGCCCCGGGGAGCGAGCGCCACGTGGTCACCTCCGATGTCTGGAGGACACTCGGGCCCTGCTTTTCTCTCAGTGTCCAGGACTAAAATTATAAACAAAATCCATGTTCGAGTTTCTGAAGGTCTGCGGGAGCGCAGTGCTGGAGTCAAAGCCCCACGCGTGGCCCTTGCAGCCTGAGAGACAGTAGACATTTGCCATGGCTGATGTTTTGTTGGAAGCGGATTTTGATCTTAAAAATCGTATCGGTCCACGAGTCCGTGAGTGTCCTGGGCGGCACGCAGACAGCGGCTTCAGCAGAACCGTTGTTCCCAGGTACTACGAGACCGTGTCGGACGTCCTGCAGTCCGTCAGGAAGGTGGAGGAGAGCCTGAAGCGGCTGAAGCAGGCCCGGAAGACCGCCCCCGCCCACGCCGGCGGGCCCGGCGGCGGCATGAGCGACGATGACAAGATCAGGCTGCAGCTGGCCTTGGACGTGGAGCACTTGGGAGAGCAGGTGACCGGGGCCCACCAGCAGTCCCAGGGCTCTGGGGCCGAGTCCTGAGGGTCACTGGGTGGCTCACATGAGCCCAGAGAGGCCGCCGTGGCCGGACGCCTGTTCCGGGTGCTGGGAAGGCTCAGGGCCCAGAGCACGGGAGGGTGAAGGACGTGCGCCCAGGACGTAGAAGGCGGGGAGGAAGGAGGGCGCCCGGCACCCACCTCCGAGACCCAGCTTTGGCGTTGGTGTCACTGACGCTGTGTGGCCACCAGTGCGGACGTCCGTGAGGCCCACTGCGGCGGCTCTCACCGGGACCGTGGTTCGGGCCCCGCCTGGGGCCCGCCGCGCACACAGTCGGTGCCGACTCAGGGTCTCTGGAAATGCTCGCTGCGTACGCTGAGTCCCCAGGAAGGCACCAGCCCTTGACCAACGTGGCGCAGCCTCTGCGCCCGCAGCGCTCTGTGAAGTGCGTGCTCTCCGTGGTGGGGTGTGGGCGCGTGTCCCCGTGCGGGGCGCGTGCAGGCCCCGTCCTCAGTCGCTGACTGACGCCCTTGAGCACCCAGCACGCAGGGACCTTCTCAGACGGGCTCGCGTGCTGGTTCAGTCTCGTGCACGGAGGCAGATCCCGAGGGAGGCTTCTCTGCTAGGGAAAAGGGAATCCTAACGTGTCACCAGGCGCTGGCTTTTCCAGCTCACCGAGAACCCTCTCTTACACCCGAGGTCGTTGCCGAAAATCTAAGTTTTCAACTTTAAGGTGAATTAGGGATACATCTCAGTGGACATCCATTGCCACGTTTCTCGATTTCACAAGAGACATTTAAAAAGTCCTTTTATAAGCAAGACGGTTTGTGTAAAAAGGTGAACAAATAAGCGAAAGAAAAGGAGGGAGGGAGGGCAGCAGGCGGCGGTCCTCACCTCGGTCCAGGCCCCGTCCCAGCCGCTCGCCCGTGAACCGAAGGACTCGGCGGACTACCCCGACCCCCCCGGCCCGGCATGTGCGCGCGGCGTCGCCGTGACACCGAAGTGGGAACACGGCGTGCTCATCCCGGTCACAAAGCAGTCTGCCGTGGCCGCTCGCCAGCGTCGTCCATTAATCAGCTTCCAGAGAAAGGCTGTCGGCCTGGAAACCAAGAGCTCGGGCCAATCCTCTGAATGGTCTCCATGGGAAAAGAGCTCCCTTATTCTTCCCAGTCCACAGAGGGGCCCAAACCCCGCCGGCTTCTGACGCAGTGGCCCGGTGAGCTGGCCTGCCGGCTCCCTGGAATGCTGAGTCTGACCCCGAAAAGCGAAGCAAACGAGCAGGCCGTTTGCTCTAAAAAGGAAAAGCATCTGCCGGTCTTTAGGGAGCCTTGTCCTGTTTAGCGGACGGTGGGGTCGGCCGTTTCGTGGTTCGTAAGGGTCACGTTCTCACATTAAGCTTAAACCGCAGTGGCTTAACTGTTCTCTCGGCCTTTGCAGATACGGAAGATGGGCCTGCGGACACAGGACATCAAAAGCTTTCCCGCTCTCGCTGAGCTGGTCGCTGGGGCCAAGGACCAGACCACGGCAGAGCAGCCTTAGGCATCGGGGGTCCGTGGGGACAGGCAAGTTGGACGTCCCCAGCCTCCCAGCCTCTGCAGCAGAGAAGTGCGCCCTGTAGTCTCCAGCAAGGCCCGGGCGGCTCAGCCCCCGTAGTTGGGTCTTTTACCCAAAAGGGACACTAAAGCCTTTTTCCGTTGTATGGAAGATACTTTTTACAAGACGTTTGAAACTTTCTACTGTAGTTTACAAAGCAAATTATTTTATTTTTGTTGCAAGTCTTACTGGGAAGAGCTAATCTGTAAAATACGATCGAGGCACATGTATAGTACGCACGGCACACGAGGAGTGTCCTCCCCGACCGGCGGCCGGAGCCCGGATGGCAGGGGGCGGCCACGCTGGACTGGGGACGGGCGACAGCTCGTTAGAGACTTGGCGGACGAGGCCGCGAGGCATGGGTTCTCGCTCTGCCGGTCGGCGTCGAGACAGTGCTGCGTCACGCTCGTCACCCGGGCCGTGGGGAGCGAGAGCCAATCGGAAGGGTTTGTTTTCTAAATACAAGTCGAGTCCTCTGGAGCGTGCTGCCCTTTCTTTGTGGACCCGGCGCCGGTCGGATGCCCGTGCCCGCGAGGACAGGTTTCCTTGGGGGCCGGCGCCCCTCGGGCCTCTCGGCGGGCCCTGACCGGCCCAGAAGCTACGTTGGATGTGTGCAGTCTGTCACACGGTGACGGGCGGCCCTGCCGTAGCAGCCCGCAGGGCGGTGTCGCAGAGCACGCCGCTGGTTCGGTGGCCCGCCAGCCGTGTGCCTGTGAGAGTGTGTCTGCCCTGTCACTGTGACGGTGACAGGAAAGCCAGCGTGCTCATCCCTAGCTTGGCGTGTCTGCGTCTCAGCCTCTTCGTGCGAAGGTTAGTTCTCGGGAGAGCAGGGCAGAGCGAGAGCCCGGGGCTGACCCTTGGGGGGCTGGGGCGGAGCTGCAGGGCCGGGGGCAGCACAGAGGCCCCCGCGAAAGCCCCAGGAGCCGCTCCCTGTCCCCGGACACACGCCCGGAGGTGCTGGGGGCCTTTTCCTGCTCAGGAGGTGGGTACTGATCCCTTTGTCAGCAGCAGAGTGAACGCGGCCGGCTTACGGGGGTGGCGCTGCTGTCCCCGAGGGGCTCCTCAAGCCTCGGTGTGAAAACAAGACAAATGACCCTTGGCCAGGGCCAGAGCAGCCTCACGTCTCGAACTGTCGCAGAGGCAACGAGACAGCACAGCCTGTGACACTGGCCTGCAGGTCGACAGCGTTGCTGAGAATTAGTGCCTCTGTCATCTCTGCACCACCAGCACCTTCCTTCTGGGGTGTCACGGTCCCCTTTGCTTCTCGTAAGCACCCCGCCCTGTGTCGCCCCATGGGAAGAGTTTGGGCTCCGCCCGGGCTGGCGCCCCCGAGCCGCTGTCCTCACCCAGCACGGCCTTGTCACCTCGTGCTCGGGAGGCTCCACTTTAGTGAGCGGGTTCTAGAAGGCACGTGCCTCAGGCGCAGCCCATTGGCCATTGCCCGGGACCGTGAGCCGGGCCCTGCCCGCTGCGTCAGGCTTCAGAGCTCGGGGACGATGACGGATGGCAGGCGTCGAACTGGCGTTCGAGTCAGCGGGGCGCGGAGGCGCTTTCTCTGTTCGTGGCTCCTGACGCACCCCGAGACGCGCTCCTGTCGGTCCCTGACGTTCACGACGAAGGTCCCGCCCTCTGGGGAAGGGTGGGCCGGGCCCGGGTGGCGGTCCTCTGTCCTCATCACACCGTGTCAGCATCTCCGAAGGAGCACGGTCGCCGAGAAGAGTGACCGTGCCTGGCCTCAGCTGAGCGTCACGTTGGATGGCGGCCCAGATCCGTGAGCACCGGGCGGCAAACCGCCACCCTCGTTTGACAGCAGTAGGACCCCGTCCTCGTCCCGCCTACTCTCGATTTGTTCCCACTTGCGGGCTGAATTGGAGGCCGGCCCGGAGCCTCGTCCCTTAGCTGCCCTGATGCTGAGTGCAGTGCAGGGCCGTGGACACTGTGAGGTGGCATTTGGGTTGTGACATTTTCTTGTGTAATCAATCCAGCCTGCGGAAGTCAGGAGGACCTGACGTGTGCCCCCACCCCATGCAGCTGACAACGAGACGCCAGAGGACACGGCACGGGATCCCAGAGCAGTCGGCGGGCCAGGCGGGTCCTGTGACCACCCGGCGTCCTGCAGGATGCAGAGCCAGCCACCTCCCTCCCTGAGTGACGCTTTGGAATCAGAGGCTGAGGACACTGGAACGTAGGGGAGGAACAGAGGGGGCGTCCGCGGAGGGCGGCTCGGTTCGTGCAGCCGAACACTGATCGGCACCAGGCGAGGAGGCCATCAGGGCCAGGAAAGCAGCGGTGGGGACGGTCCTTGGAGCTCCGAGGGCCCGGGAACAGCGGCGTGTTCCCGCCAGCCAGAATGGGCCAGCGCTGACACAGGCCACAGCGAAGCCCCAGAAGGACATGGCCTCAGAGTGGAGCCAAATCTGCCTAGACTGGCTGGTCTGGGCCTGCCTGTCAACACTTAAGGCAAAGCTCAGGCCACCTGCCCTTTTCTGGGTAACTCAGTGGAAGATCGAGGTGACCTGGGTGTGGGCACATGGCTACGGTGCCCAGCACACACATTCCTTGTCCGCGAGTGCCCCAGAGCCGCCCAGAGCCGCCCAGAGCACCTGCTCCTCCTGCGGTGTAGCTCACACGCGGAGGCCCGCACACTCAAAGCCACCCACAGGGCGTTTACAGTGGCTGTCACAGCCGCCAGAGCTGGGGACAGCCAGGGGCCCCCCTGTCACAGCGCCAGAGCTGGGGACAGCCAGGGGCCCCCCTGTCACAGCCGCCAGAGGCCCTTCATTAGGTGGTAAGATAACAGGTCCTTCTGATGACAGTGCTGGTCAGTGCTAAAGTGATCTGCCAACCATGAAGAGACACAGGGACCTTTCGTGTGACTCTCTGAGTGACAGAAGCTGATCCGAAGAGGCTGCACAGTGTGTGACCCAACAGTGTGACCTTCTGGGAGAGGCAAACCATGGGTTCGGTGACAAGCTCGGTGGTGGCCGGGGGTTGGGGGGGGACAAACCAGGGGCACAGGGGTTCAGGGCAGTGAAACCCTCAATGTGACACTGTACCGGCGGGTATGTGTCACGTCACGTGTGTTCAGACCCGTAGGAAGCACAGCACCGAGAGTGACCCTCACATAAACGGCGGACTCGAGGTGTGTGGACCGTGACAGATGCACCGCCTGGGGGAGTCGGGGGCTGCGCGTTGGGGCGGGGCTCGTGGGGTCTCTGGGCTTTACACTGTTTTGCTAAAAGCCTGAACCTGCTTTAGAAAAGTGGGTCCGGGAAGGTGTCACATAGAGTGACATTCGCGTCCGCAGGACGCTGCCCCAGAGCTTCACGCATGCTGTGTTCACGGTGTTCAGACTCGGGGGACCCGTGATTCCAGCCTGCGCATGGGACGTCCTGGGGGCCGGCAGCGGTCACCACACACGTTCAGGTGGCAGATCCAGAGCCGTCCCCACGTAAACCTTGTGGCAGGAAAGTCTGTGGCGCCTCTTGTCTGCTCAGCTTGGGTTTTGCTGCCAAACGAGCAACAGCCGATCAGAAGTCCTTCAGTTTCCAAAGCTCAGTAAAGGACTTGGGATCCGGTGACTGTCCTCGGTGGCCGTGGGGAGCATCCCCTGGCCGTCATCGCTCCAGGTCTCACGTCGTGGTCGCTGGACAACCGCCTGGGCTGCTGGGCGAGCACTTTGCAACCACAGGACCCAGAATTCAGTGAAGAATGTGCACGAGAAACGAACTCCCAGAACGAACGTTTTTGCGTGGAGGGATCTCTGAAATGCCGGGATTTCGTACCCTTGCAGCGTCCTGACCCAGATTCCCACTTGTGAAAGCGTTTGGGGACAGAGAGCCACGGTCGGCTGGCAGCGTTTCCTAGCGACGGCCGAAGCCCCCGCTGCCCACCAAGTGGAGTCGCCGTCAGCCCAGCGCCAGCTGCTCCTGCACGTGGAGTTGAAAACACGTTTCCTTCCTCCGGCTGTACTGTTAGCACTGCCCCTGCCATTGGGGGTGACCAAGGGATGACATCGGGCTCCCCGCCTGCCGCATCTCTGGAGCAAAGCCGGGCCCTCTGCCGCCCGCCGAGCTTGTGTTCGGTGAAGCGGGCGGGGTATGAGCCGGGGGCTGGAGGGGCAGCTCCAAGGTCGACCATCGCCCACGTCTACACCGATTCGGTGGGCAGTTCCACAAGTCACAAAGGAGCTTCCGGGCGTGGTCCTGGTGGGCCACCGGCGCCTGAGCGCTGAGCCCGAGGGGAGCAGCTCTGTGTGCCCCCCCCAGTGTGCCAGGCGGGCTTTCCGTCCTCCCTCCTACGAGGAACGTGAGATGGCACAGGTCGCCCGGGGCCCTGTCCTCACCGCTAGGCCGTTGGCGGCATCCCTGCGGAGGCCCCTCACTGGGCAAGTTCACAGTCACGGTCGGTCTGGGCGTCTTCCGGCCATTCGGCCCCCTGCAGGGGCCCCCAGGTGAAGGTGAAGGCGAAGGCCGCCATTCCCGCTGTGCCTTCTGGAATAGGACGTGTAGACAGGGCGGACGTCGCGACCCCGTGACGCCCTGAGTGCCGTGGATGGGAAGGCGGCTGCTGTGGGCTTACTCTCCCGAGCGTCTCCCCTTTCAGAGGCGGGCGGGGCGGACAGGGAAGTGGCTCGTGGTCGCACAGCCGCAGGAGCTGGGGCTGGGCTCCCCGCGGCCGTCCAGCTCCCGCGTCCCTGCCCCTCAGAGACACACGCTGCCCCTGCGTGCCTCGTCAGGCCCGGTCACCCCGCAGAGGCGGGAGGGCCAGCCATGCCCCTGAACGCCAAAGCCAGGGGAGGTGCCTCCCACACTTGGGGTGCGAGGGGATGAGCTGAGGTTTGGGCGACGTCACCGCTGTCCTCTGCGGCCTGGGCCTCTGGCGGACCCCACCACCCACCCTCACACAGGATGTGGGCCCCAGGCCCTGGGTGTGTGGCCGTGGTGCCCCGTGGAGGGGCGGCCGGGGGCCGGGCACGAGCGTGCAGGGCAGGCGCTGCCAAAGCAGAAAGTGGACACTCCCACTTCCGGGAGCGCTCGGTCACCCCTGAAGCCGCCCGTCCCCACTGCCTCCGGCTGCTCCCCGGCCCCCCCTGTGGCCCCGTGTTCCCGGCTAAGCGCAGTCCCCGGGCGCCTTGCCCTGTCCTCACAGGTACGTGCCCACCACTCAGGCCCTGCCCGAGGTTTAGGAGGTGGGTGGGGCCCGGTCCCAGCAGAGCGACAGGCAGGACACGGGGCAGACGGAAGGGAGGTGCGCGGGGGAGACCGGGTCTCTCGCTCTGTGCTGGGGACGTTTATTAATAGCGGGACAACCAGGCACGACACTGCCACCTGACACACGTTCAGAGTCTTGGTTCAGAAATCACACGTGTCGTGGGCAAGGAAGGCGGAAGCGGGAGCCCTCGGGCACCGTGGGCGCCGCGGGCGAGGCGCAGCCCCCCACGCCGGAAGCTGAACACAGACGCGGCCGAGGAGAGGCGCACGTGTTCACGGTCGAGCCCGACCCTGTCCTCAGTTACGGAGGGGACACGCTGGGCTGTGCACACTCCGTCCAGAGCGGCCGTCCCT